TTAAAGAGGAAGTAAGTTGGTCTATTTTATTTTCTAGTTTCATTAAGTGATTTGAAATTAAAGAGATTAATATTTGTAAAGTTTAAATGTTTAATTACACGAATAAAATCTTTGATGATACTAGTTTCTAGAGTATTTCCAAAAGTATTTAATTCAAAATTTTAGTTTGTATTGTCTTGATCTAGTACTGTGAAAATAGTTGGAGGATAAGTAGAATCTACTATCTCTCTAGAATTAATTTTTTTATTTTCTGGTTAACATGTTTAATTCATGTTTTAATTTTTTGGTTATTTGATTACTAAATCATGTTAAAAATAAAAGAAATTCTTTTCGTTCATAGAGTCTATTCTCATTTTCTTTAAATTAAATTTCAAAATTTTTTCTTCTATCATCTTCCGTATTAAAATTACGATACCAATTTCAGAATGATTCGCATTTAGGTTGTAGATAATCATTAATTAAAGTTTGTCTGATTTGTTTTTTAGCTAAATCTCTTAAATAAGTTATTATTAAAATTAAAACTAGCTTTCAATTACGGAGAAAGGTTTTGTACCCTGTTGGATGTAATAGATTAATACTTGATAGCTTTATTCTTTCTATTCGTTTATTTATTGATGAAATTTCATCAGAATCATTATGAGAAAGATTTGAACATGGATAAGATATCCGTGGAAGAGTAATAAATCTTCTCGGATTAAATCTTATCAGAAAGTCTCCGTTAGTAACATGACTAACTTGCTCTGCATCCTGATTTATTACATGATGAGGATTAATAGCAGTATGTAACTGTCACGACTCAGGAAAGCTTACTTCATCCCATTTTATTGCTATATTAGTTGCTATACTTGAAGCCAATAGATTAGTTTCTACTATTGTAGGTCTATCTGTAGGTTTCATATTATGTTTAATATTTTGACATAAAGTATTTCGTTACTTTAAAATGAATTCAATAGATTATTAATATTGTTTTAAATCCAAGTAAAAATCATATCCGTGTAATTTGATCTATATTTTAGCTATTTCAAAGAGATTTGTCTGTAAGTGACAAACTTAAATTTGGAAAAGTGTTAAAAGAAAACGGGTCTATTACATATGCTAGTTTCCATAATACCCATCAATGATTGTGCCCGATTAAGGCATCTTGCATCTGTTGAGCAGACTAAAATTGAAGCGTTTAATCCTCATAGTGTAAGAGGTTTAAATACCACTTGAATTAAGCCTATGTTAATAAATTTATAATTTTCTAACTATTTAAGTCTGGTTGACTTAGAAATGAGATTGTCTTGTCATTTTCATCTATTGTTAAAGATTGTTGAACTGTTTTAATTGATGATTTACCTTTGAAATCAAATGTTCCAATTTTATAGATTAGTGACTTTTTGACCTTAGAAATAGTTCATTTATTTAAGTCTTTATCGTTTGTAGGATATTCCTGGAATTTTGCATTTTTGATATTATTATTTCTCGATTGAGATCTTTGTAGATTTTTAAATATTATGGTACTATTGTAGCTTGAAGAGGTGCTCATGAAAGGCAACAATTGAAGCATCTAGAACTCTTTTTCGTTAAATGAATTTAATAGGGTAATCTAACAACAATCAGGTGAAAATATTATTGATGCACTAATGTTTTAATTCAAACGAGCCGAGTCAATAAAAACCAAGAAACAAATCATCCATCTCAGACATAAAACACCCTCATTCGACGATGACTAATGGATTAAGCTTAGCTTAAAGCAATAATATGATCAGACTAGAAGGTCGAACTCAGGATAATCTGCATGTTAGTCAAGGATGTTAAGTTGCAGAACAACACTCGACTTTACGATGCAGGATATACCTAACCCACAATGTTAGAACAAAATATCTATTGCTTAGTTATCACGCTTTATTATTAGGCACTGTATATGTATCTACAAATATGGTGGGACATTTATTTGCAACTACCCAATTGAATTCGAGTATTGCTTCAAGTTTCCCATTGTTAATTGGAAGAGGTAGGGTCTGTTGGGGCGGGTACTCCCCTCGGGGGGATCCCACCAAGGCGTGGCCTGTGAGAAAATTGATTCTGTCTAGCTGGTCTCGTCTTACATTGCAGTTAAAATGTTAATGAAATGGATTGCTTATCATGGAGGAGGGGCCGAGGATCATGGCAAGCTCATATTCTTCACTAGATATTTTGCTTTGTTGGATTCATTTAAATAAGACATTTTACGCTGCTTTGAAATGGATTCATCAAAATAAGACATTTTACATGTGGAAATTTACAAGTTCTTTAAAGAAACATTCATGATGTTGTTTCAGTACTGTTTATTACAAAACATTTTACGTTTGATTGCCCATTCTCAAGAATGTTGGGCAGCAATGCCTTTCATGATAATTGTATCGTCAAATTCCGATTTAAAGATCCAATAACACAGTAGGGTAGACCACCCACTGAATTTCCAAGCCCAATTGTCCAGAAGAGCTACCGAGTACGAGTAGCTGAGTACTAGTTGTCAAGTACGAGTCACCAGTCCGTCTATTGTGACCAGCAAATTCATTTGCCAAAGAGGACTAGATTCGATTCAGTCGAGGGGGCAACTCGCTCCAACACCGAGTTGCTCAGTGCTGAATCATCTTGAAAGTTGAGTAGACTGACAATGATATGACTCAACGAACACATAGGAACATATGTCATGATACAATACTACCAGAGATAATATCTAATATAATATCAAAATTAGCAGACAAGAAATGATCTGCGTGGGCAATGAGTACCTATTTTGTATTATATATAAGAATTCTCCATAAATAGAGGGAGAATCATGCAAAAAGGGATTGAGCCCAAAACTTTTAGATAAGGAGAGATCGTTTTCCCCTTCTCTTTCTGCCTCTCTCGCCCCCTTTCTAACTGTTCTCTCAAGGGGCGAGTCCACAAACAAGTCGGAATAATGTTGCGCTAACTGGTACTTGCTAGGAAAAGCTATATATCTGAATTCCAGGCTTCTGGATTCATTGTGGTATTGATTGAGATTTCATGTATTACTTTTCCCCTTCTGTTAAAGACATCAAGGTCCATTCCAGGTGATATACCGTTGTTGTAGATGGCATTACCAAGCATTGGAGGCGCAGAATTTGTGTGCGCTTCAGGATTTGAGGAGCTGGAAGCAATTTAAATGGAGCCATAAGATAGAATTACAGTGTTACGGATACAGGAAGGCATGGGGGGCTGTTGTTCGGTTCTGGGTGGAAGAAAAGGGAATAATTGAGAGGGATTCGGAAAATAAAAGAGAAAGAAGAGGAGCAAGAAAACAGGTGAGACCGTCAGGCGAGTTAGCTGTGGATTTAAAATTTTCTGTCTAGGCTCTGGACGTAGCTCTATGTGTGGATTCTAATAATATACCGCCACATGTGCTACTTCGTGGATGTTATTTCAGTGTTATTGAAGTGGAACCGTGCATGTTATTTTGGGGTTATTGAAGAAAAACCCATATATTCCAATTCAATAACCCCGAATAACCTCTGCGGTGTTATTTCAGAGTTTTTGAAGAGAAACCCATATATTATACTTAAATAACTCTGAAATAATACCGTAGAGTTTATTCCGGGGTTATTGCGGAGTCTGCGGTTTCACCTTAAAAATTTTTTTTGGTGGGTTTGATATAACACACATGACGGTATATTATTGGGAGTTCGCATATAGAGCTACGTCTGGAGACTAGACAGAAAATTTTCTCCTAAAGTGGCGGACTGTGATTTGTTTTTTGACCCTGCTACCACATAAGGTGTTATGTATTTATCAATCTAACACAAACTGTCATCATATAAAAAATATTACTCATGTTTTGATGCGATTTTAAGTATTATATATATAAATATCAAAATTTAGCCGTCAAATATGTAAATGGATAAAATTTTTGTGGTATGTATATCAATTCCCTTCACAAAAAATTAGAAAACAGTAAATAGATAAACGGGAAACTCAGAGGATCTTCGATGAGGAAAAGGAATGCGTGTTCTGGAATGAAAATGTGTGCGTGAGAGAGAGAGAGTTGAAAAATTAAATGTATGGGAAATGAGAAAAGTTATGGTAGTGAGTGAGGCGGAGAAGGGGCATTACGAGAGGCTATATCGAGCAAAGTAATCAAATAAATTTCATTCAATGACTAATAATGTATTAGGATCTTAAGATTGTTATTTATTATTAAAAAATACCTTTAAATATTTTATAAAATCATCAGATAAACTCAGAACAAATTTCGTATAATGTTTGCTAATACATCAACTAAAAAAGAAAAAAAAAAAATAGCCATCAGCATCAAACATCTTGATGGGACAAAGGTTCTCAATCACCATATATGTATACTTTTTTTTGCCTTAAAACATTTCATGAATTAAATTCTCTTGTTATCTCCTGTTGAAAGCCTGTAGTGGTGCTTAGTGTATCAAAATTTTGCAATGAGAAACTTATTTTTACTGGCAGATTTTTTAGTGTAATAATTGTGAGAAAATTATTGTCTAATTTTTTGAAGAGAAAAAGTTATAGGGGCATTCACATACATAGCAAATTATTCTTATGTATTTGCATATCTCACGGCTAAACTTTTATTTTTACATACCAGCACTCAATTCTTCAATATCATATAAAAAATAGTACTATTATCACTTTTTAAATGTCAAATATACGTTTTCATGCATAAATTTAAAACACCAAAGTGCTGTGTATGTAAATATGGAGGTTTACGTGTGAGATACATAAATTCATAAGAATTGTGTAATATGTATGTAAATTTCTCAAAATTCTAACACCCACCATAGCTTTAAAAAAAATGTTTTTTTACAACAGTTTTATGTCTAGTTTTACAAATAGTTGTAACTTTCTCAGAAGGACTTATCTTTTTTTGTCATGCGGAAACATCACCAAACCAACTCGCAGATTTTGAATTTCTCTTTATCTTTACCCATTCCTTGGTGGATTTCATAATTCCATTTCTTCTGTTTCTCTTATTTGGATTCCAGGGACCGCTGTTTCAGCAGCGGCCATACCCATCCCCCGGAGCTGTCCTGCGCAAGAACGCGGAAATTGCTTCTCAAAGCAAGAAACACGGTTCGACGAATCGGATGGCGCCCATTACTAAGAGAGGAGATGGCAGCGATGGACTCGGAGATGCCGACTGAGGTATCTTTGTTTATATTTTATATCTTTGATTGTCATGTGGGTGGCCATAACATGAATTTTGGAATTTGTGGGTGGTAATTTGTCAATATTAGCTGTAACTATTGTTATACTGCCTAATAAGCTGCCATTTGTGTGATTAAGTTGTTACTGAGATGAATTGAATGAGCAGAGAAGGATTTTTACATATCAAACACCGGATTTTAATTTTTATATTTATATCACTCGAAATTTTTATACGACAAAAAATACCATATTTTTAGCTTTTAGAAAGCGGAATGCAACTTACCTTTATTGGGGAAGTTATGTGTGTAAAAATTGAAGTTTAGGTGTTAGATATGTAAATTGTACCCTCAAGAAATAGTATGCATGCATCTCAAGATAGCTAATGGTTCGGATAAGAAGTCTAGAACAACATTTACAATCTTCTTTAAAGAATGACAGATTTAATGATACATTTCTCTCTTTTTAATTTTTTATAAATAGAAAAATCATGACATGTATTAGGGGTTGTTGAACTCTTCATACCCTTTATTTGTAATTATTTTTTCTGTGGAATAAATAAGGCCAAAGAGTTCATGAACACCCATCTTCGCCCCGACGGGGCAAACTTCCTCTTCTTCTCTCTCCCTCTTTATCTATTTTTTCTCTCCTTTGGTCCATATGTTATATTCTTTGGGCATGATCTTATAGATTTGGATCAAACATCCTAAAAGTTTCGTTAAGCAGAAATCTTGAATAAATCTAACGACTCACATGGTATGCATAGATCTTGAGACAATCTAACGGCTAAAATAAGATGATTAAAATACTCAATACTATTCTTGTTAGAGCAAGGTTAAAGTTGTAATATGAAATTATCATTTTTTTTATCTTTTATAAATAGAAGAACCAAGGGTTCTTAGAATCTCTTCTCTCAACAATTTATGTAGGGACAACTCTCTCATCTTCCCCTCTCTTGTAATCACCCCTTTCTTAGTGGAATAAGAGGGACCAAAGTGCTAGGGAACATCCCTCTTTGCCCCCACAAGCTAAGCCTTCCTCTTACTCTCTCCCTCCCCCTCTCTCTCCCTTCTTCTTTCTCTCTCTTGATTCATACACTCTATTACTTGGGCATGATTCAACAAAATTGAACTCAACATCCTAAAAAGTGCGGTGAGTGTGAAACAAACTATCAACAAGAAGATGAGCAACACTGAAAAAAAAACTCTTCAAAAAGACTCTTAGTAAAGGGTATGTAAGGCAAACTATTACCGAAGCAGATTCACTATTCCTCACCCCTTGCATTCTCTAAGAAACTCCATCTCTTTCCTCGTAGATTTGCCCCCCAACTTTAAGATCTAGAGATTGCTTGCACTTCGTCCTCACTTTTGCGCACTAAATTTACACCAATAGTCTCCCAGCTGGTTTAATTCTTCCTCGCGTGGAGATCTGAATTGACCATCTCATAGCCGGTTTTCTCATCAATCATCGCTTTTCTCGCTGCTGATTGACACTCTCTCTGCAGAAATCTTGATGGGCCGACCGCGGCTCCGATACCCTTTGGCCGACCACCTACCTCCAACCGGCAATATGAAAAACACAAAAGATTTACATACATACCACTCAATTCATATGTATGCATCAAGTCGGCCATCAATTGGCCGACAACTTCACTCCTCCGCCCGGCCACCTCCTCACTTCGGTTGCCCGCCCACAGCCCAACCAC